CCACCAGCATAGAGTACATCACCCAGAGAAACTGCAACCTCACCCAGGTTGGAGGCCTGATTGACTCTAAGGGCTATGGAGTTGGCACACCAATAGGTAATGGTGCCCCATATACTGCCTGACAAGCTGTTGAGCCCCCTAACCGTACCGTTACTAGCCTTAAGCAAGAAACATGGCGTCTTTTTTGTGCTTTTGGGAATTTATTATGAAGGGAAACACACTACACAACCCAACTACTGAGTTCCCAATGAGTTTGAATTGCCTTGATTTTTTTCTGTCCTGCTCATTTGCTGCATTTCATCTGTGCAGGATGGAATGCAAGTAGAATGTAGGATATCTCAGAAATTTGTCTCCAACTTCTGACTCGATGCTCCTTGATGAAATTCAGAAAATTATATTTAAAGAAACAAAACAAATACTGTTTTAAGAAAAGGTAAAGCTTGTATTTGCTTTGTAGGTGTGCTAATATCAACAGAGAAAATGTACAAGTATCTCTGGAAAACATTTTCTAAACAGGTTTCATTATCAAATACTTTGGATCTTTTTAAAAAGTAATGTAATTTTTATAACACGAGTAAATTGTGGGGAAATATTAATTAATTATATATTCGATTTTAAACTTCAGTTTTTGCATTTTCCATGCATTTCAAAATATGTAGATTGTATTATATTAATTTTATGTTATAGTTATATTTATACTATAACAATATGAAAAAACAATGCCTGATGATAGTTGCATGACCAAAACGTTGGTTAAAATATAATTAGCTGTAGCAGCGTGTAGAAATCATCTATTTTTTTTGTTAGACTATTTGCTATCCTTTATTCCGATGCACTTGTATGCATCTATATGATTTAAAAGTATTTATAAAATATATATTTATAAAATTGATATATTTCTATATAAAATATAAATAATTTGGATCTTTGATTGCATTTTATTTGCTTTAACATATGGATGCACCAATAATGATACATATTTGAATGTCCAGATATTAAAAAATACAACTTTGTCTACATAAATTAAAAATAAAACACTAAAAACTCACCAAAAATCTGTTTAGGCATCAAAACATTACAATGCACAGTGTGAAAACTGGATATTGATTTTGAGATTTGCTAAAGATTACATTTAACAGTGTTATTAAGTACTTTGTGTTTATTAATTAAATATCCAATATCACTGAATTCAAATAAATAAATATAAAATGTAAAAATACTGATATATTGGGCATCCCTACTTTAAACTTATTGAAGTTCAACTTATTGAAGTGCATTCTGTTGCACTTGTGTAGGACTCTTCTCTAAACACTTTTTTTTTTTTGCGACCCCACCTAAAGAACTGCGCTTCTTTGCAGGTTCACCCTACCGGGACAAGGTGACCATCGCCATCCTGCAGCTCCAAGAAGAGGGAAAGCTGCACATGATGAAGGAAAAATGGTGGCGAGGTAACGGATGCCCTGAGGAGGACAACAAAGAGGCCAGTGCCCTGGGTGTGGAGAACATTGGAGGCATCTTCATCGTGCTGGCCGCTGGTCTTGTGCTGTCTGTGTTTGTGGCCATCGGAGAGTTCATCTACAAGTCTCGCAAAAACAGCGATATTGAAGAGGTGAGTGGGAGGCTGGCGGAACGGCCCCGCGGGGTCTGAATCTTACAGGAGCTAATTACCTCACCGCTGTCACAGTTGAAATGAGCCATGTAAACACAAATGAGACACTTGCGGGATGTTTTTGCAGCAGCCCACTGGACAGGAACCTGTCGCAGACTTAAAGCACACGCCGTTTATCATGCAGGTGTTCTACTTCTACATTTCTGAAACTATTTTGGTTTGCTTGCTTGTTTTGCATGACATACATAGGGTTGTGAAATTGTGACAAAAATGTATTGTAGTACAATATTACCCTTTTGCAAATTTTATTACCTGATCTGGATGACAAAGATCTGCTTTCAGAGCAGTTTGGCAATTTAAGCAGTGTGATGTAAAATGTAAAACGTAATGTGTTATACTTATATATTCCTATAGGGATGTATGTTTGGTGCACACACGTACATTAAAGTTATTAAATTCAATTCAAAGTATACGCAGTTGTGCAGAGAGTACAAGTAATAAATGTATGATGTATGTTTATATACAGTATCTCACAGAAGTGAGTACACCCCTCACATTTTTGTAAATATTTTATTATATCTTTTCATGCGACAACACTGAAGAAATTACACTTTGCTGTATGTAAAGTAGTGAGTGTACAGCTTGTATAACAGTGTAAATATGGAGGAGTGGAAGAGGACTCCAGTGGCAACCTGTGAAGCTCTGGTGAACTCCATGCCCAAGAGGGTTAAGGCAGTGCTGGAAAATAATGGTGGGCTCTCAAAATATTGACACTTTGGGCCCAATTTGGACATTTTCACTTAGGGGTGTACTCACTTTTGTGGCCAGCGGTTTAGACATTAATGGCTGTGTGTTGAGTTATTTTGAGGGGACAGCAAATTTACACTGTTATACAAGCTGTACACTCACTACTTTACATTGTAGCAAAGTGTCATTTCTTCAGTGTTGTCACATGAAAAGATATAATAAAATATTTACAAAAATGTGAGGGGTGTACTCACTTCTGTGAGATACTGTATATAAATATTAAAAGATACACACTCTCTCTCTCTCTCTCTCTCTCTCTCTCTGTATATATATATATATATGCACACACACAGATATTGGCTGATGTAAACATGTTACAATGGTAGACACTGTAAACAGACTTTGTGGTCACAATTATGAATATGTGACTACTGATATAAACTTGTATTTTATATGTACAATAAGCAGAATAATTGCAACATAAAGTGGAGGTAAGATTGCAAAGCATGAAGCTCGAGTCAAGTCCAAATCAAGACACAACCCATAGCAACGAGTTATGACAACGACGTCTCAGAAAGTCTGGCGGCAGATAAAAGTAAACAATAAATGAATGAGAGATCATTACAAAAGTGTGCATCAAATAAACTGAACACGGAAGATCAAACGTGTGCTTTGCTAGAACAGACCTCACTGGTTGTCATGCAACACACATGCACAAGATAAATTGCATTTGCTTCAATATTTTTAAAATATATTTCTATGTAAAATATTTTAAAAAGTTAAATAATTATAAACAAATTAAAAGATTAAATTGCATTGACTTGTATGTATAATATATGTATGATTTGCATTTGCACATTCTACTTGAAATACAAAAAAACAGATCAAATTAATCACAAATTATTAACAGCCCTAGTTTAATTTTCTCAGTTGCCCAAGGGTATTTTATTTATATGTTGCTTAAAGTATTACTTGAGTATCAACGGTTAGTATCGTACCAAAGACAAAGTTTAGGTACTGATTTAACATTAATGTGCATTAACTGAATACATATTTTAGCATCATTTTTATTTTTGTTGCATGTGAATGCTGTTTATATTTTGCTATCACATTGATCATTTGCATGTTTACTGATCTTGTCCTGCTTTTTGTCTTTCTGTTCTATTTTTATCATTGATCTGCATGCACAAGGCCTTCTGTTTCTTTTACGGAGTCCAATCCCAGCAGCTGCAAAGAAGCGATTCCATCTCCTCCTCTGGCACGTCCTTATCAACAGATTTAGAGAGCGGGCGGCTCCTCAGGGATGACATATGTTCTTCGTGTTAGCCACACACTCATATCTGTAAGGGCTGTGTGTTATTTAAAGAAATATAAACTCCTTTCCCTCATTCGCCCATCCACTGGTTACTTCCAAACCATCTGCCCAAACCCTTGACCTCAATCCAGCACCCATGTGGCTCAGAAATTTAGTACGGTTTTCAAGGAGATGAAGAACACTTTCATTTCTCATTGCACACCCTGTCTGCAGACAGATAAGAAATTGAGTGCTCTCTTGAAACTTTTATTTACTGGTAGAAGCTATTAAATTATGGCCATTCGCAGCACAATTTTAAGTGTGGACCCTCTAGATTTGATGGCCTAAATTCTGCCTTTCATGTTCTCATTTCTCCCTTAAAAGATCAGCCCGCACAGTGAGGGTAATGATAATTATAATCAGGGTTATGATAATGATCTGTTCTGCTATAGCCCATTGATTCTTGAGTACAGAGACAAAACTGGCTACAAAACAGAAAAAAGTTTGTCTAAAGAAATTATTTTAGATGAATCTATAACGTTCTAGTGTCCATACAAAATATGTGCTTTTACTTGCCAATTACTCAAGATTGGTCAAGACTGTCAGATAGAAAATAATATGAGGATTATTTATTATAATCATTGACAAATCTAGCATTCACTTTAATAAATTAGAATGCAGTATATATATATATACACGTGCATATTTCTTAAATATATACATGTATGTGTGTGTATTTATTTACATTTAGTCATTTAGCAGACGCTTTTATCTTAAGTGACTTACAAATGAGGACAATAGAAGCAATCAAACCAACAAAAGAGCAATAACATGCGACAAGTAGCAAAAAAGACAACAAGTAGATAGAATAGAAAAAGAATATAGAATGCTAGTGTTAGAGGGTTTTTTACAAACACATTTTTTTTACATATAAATATACACATTACGTAAACACAAAACTTTTATTTTGGATGCGATTAATTGCGATTAATCGATTTGACGGCACAATATGAAGTAAATTCTTAATAATTAAAACTACTATTTAAAATGGTTTTAGGAGAGTGAGTTTAAATGTAAATTTTGATAATGAAATAGTAATGTTAATGAAAAAGCACATACATGTGAGGTAAAGTTGTGGAAAATGTATTTCCTGTCTCAAGAATCAGTGAACTCCACTCTTTCACTTCTTTTTTGTTCCATAAACACCTGACACTGATATCATTCTCTGGAATGTAATTAACTTTAGCTGTATTTGGCAGAGAAAAGACATCAAGAGAAGAGTCTTCATAATGACTTGATTAAATATTGATGCCCTCGAAAAGAAAGAACAATTAAAAAGTCTAAGATTACCGTGTCTGAAATTAGCCCACAGGATAACCGTAATCAGCCGGGAGCGAATTATCTGCCTCCCACGTCCCCGGCGGCATAGAGCTGTGTCTAGAGCTGTGGCTTTCATGCCTTGAACATCTCATGGCGGACAGGACCAAGACTGGTAGAATCTCTCTGAAACAAAGAAATCTGCGTTATCACAATAGAAAACGGGCTACACAGCAAGTCAAATCTATTGCATCCATGCAATATAAACCAGATCTTTCTTCCGAAGAGGTTTAGGGTGGCAGCTATCTCGTGAGCACAGCATAAAATTCACCATATAGTCCCAACCCTGTTCTCACTCTCCACATCAATTTCATGCTTTTTCTACACTATCCTTATAACTAAAAGTAGCAAAGAGGCCTAAAAATAGAATGAAAAACAATTAGATGGAATGCAAATACAAATCCAAGCAGAAAGTCCTGTTTTATTGTTGTTGTTGTTTTTTATATATATCATGTTTTGCAGTGAAGTGACACTATAAGCATCACATTCACTTGAATAACCGAACTGGACTCTGTTAGACTGTTTGTATGTACTGTAAGTGTGTCTGTGTGCATGTTTGTGTGTGTAGAGAGACTCACGCAAGCCCTTGTGTTCTTCTTTGACAGTGTGTCTCTTTCAGTGCTGTGATGGAAGACCTGGGCATATCCCTCAGGTGCCACAAGGCGTTGAGGAAAAGAGGCAGACACAGAGGAAGAGCCGGCCTGTCTGGAGTCTTATGTAACCACAAACGCATCCAGAAGAAAGAGACAATGGCCTAGATCCACCTCCAACAGCCACACGAACAAGGAGCAGCTCTGCTTTTGACGTACCTGCCGGTGAAATCAATCTCTGAGGCTGTTTGTTTTTTCAATCAATTGTTTATGTGCTTTTTACTCATGAATTTGCAGGTTTTTATATTAGTATTATGTGGATTGTGTTGGTCTTGTGTTAAGTACACAGGTAATATCTGAAAATGAAAGGAATAATTTATTTTGAGATATTTATTAAAGTACAAGCACATTGCATTATACGGTAGCATTTTCTTGTGCTGTCCTTAATGTAATAAATAAAAGCGTACATTTTTTACACACATTTGGGCATTTATCTTGTTCCAGGCGTTCTTTTATCAGTGACGCAGGTTCTATTAATTGAAGCATTATATAACAACAGAAAATAACAGAGAAGATGCTTCTAATCCATGACTGTTCCAAAGGGAATGTAGCCATGGTTGTTTCTCCATTACTTTTTTCCCATTTTGACCCTAACAATTTAAGACGTTCTGCCTGCTACACACAAAGTGCCTGCCTCGAGGGACTGACCGAAGTATTCTTCCTCAAACTGAGGCACAATCAAATAAAGTTCAAAGGTCAGCCTCTGCTTCAAGAGCTCCATGACCCAGACAAATTACTCTCTGAAGATTAAATGCCTTTTCGCCAAAAATACATCAGATGTGTCTTTATGCATATCAGAAAAGATAAGACGTTCCAAGATGAGGGCGATCATCTTGATTAGATTTTTGTGCTCCAGATGCATTTTTTCAAAGCAAAGTGTGGCTAAAAAAACT